GCTGCGCCCGCTTTCCATGTCTGGCGGCACCGCGACCTCTCTTTGCTGAGAGCTGGTGTCTTGTCCCACCGGGCTCGGAGGCTTGACATCTCCTGAGGCCCCCAGAGAAGTCTCCTCCAGGCTCTCCCAACGCCAGCTTGGCCACCTCGCAGGGAGCTGCCTGCCTGCTGGAGGAGGATTCTTTTTTCTCAGGGCTGCTTTTTTTTTTTTTTTTTTTTTTTTTTTTTGTGCGGCAAGGACTGAGTTTTCCTTCGTAAGCGAGGCACAGATTCGTCTCTCTCCAACTAAAACAGCAACCGGGGAGTCATTTCGAATACGCTCCTGGAGCGGGCGGAGGGCAAATTGGTGGGAAATCCTTCCTTGCAGATCGAAGAGCCCCCGGAGATGGTTCCTGTGGACTGTGCTAGCCGATCCCCACCAGCTTTATCGTTTTCGTTTACAAGCCACTGCTCCCTCTTTCCTCTTCCCATCCTTAATCCCTTCCCACCAGGATCTCACCCCTCATATGCCTCTACTTGGAGGGTTTATTAAAAGATGATGCCATTGCCACGCACAGTCTGACTGAGCCTGCGGCAACGCAGACTGGAAAACACACACGTACCAACAGGCACACACACAGACATGGTTATTTTTCAAGGGCAAACACGGAGAGCTAAGGGCCCGAGTGGAAAAAAAAATGTCAAACAAAAAAAAAAAAGAAAGAAAAATGGCGTCAATTTAGATGAGAATAATACATGGAATTCTATACTGTGTTTATTAACCTTTGCCTGGTGAATCGAAGCATCACGATGAATAACCCGCTTTAGGTCGACCACTCCGATACAGATAAACTGTGCGATGAGCCCCGTCCTTCTCCTTCGCAGCGTGGAGTGGAGACTGGATTCGCAGGGAATGCAGGGTCCGGCTCTCTGCTCTCTGTCTAGTGTTTCCCACAGATCTGTCAAATCCGATTTGGAAGGAGACTCCCTCATTTGGGATTAATTTCCAAGTAAATTGGAAAGTGTATCTGTATCTCTCTCTCCTTTTTTTTTTTTCACTACATGTTCCAGACCGAGATTTAAAACCTATTAAGTCTCCCTTGCTCTGTTCGTCACAGCCAGCATGTCACAACTGTTCTTAAAACTTTTCATACTGATTTATTCCTCCGAGTTTACAGCTTGCTTTGCTGATATATGGCTGAGGGGATACGAGGGCCACCCTGTTCAAAAGGGTAAAGCCCTGATTGCAGTTTTATCGCAGCTGAAAGTGCCCTGCTTACCGCAAGTGAGCGGAAAATGCTCCCTTCCCGAGACCAGGAAATAATAATGGAACATTAAAATATTGTTAGAGTGATGTACTCATAAATCAATCCGCTTCCCTCGAAAGTGCTAAATTTCTAAAAAGAAAAACACATCAGACACTTTGTACCCGCGGGATATTAATTTTTCTTAGCCGGACAGCGGGGAGTCAATAACTTCTGACCGATACTATCCAGTTTTGCCTGTGAGCTCTGGGTGCGCTTCCAGTTTACCTAAATCATAAGTCATGCCGTCTTTAAACAGGGAAGAAAGTTTTAACCTATCATGCAACGATTTAGTGCCGAAATAAGTGATATGCGGTGAAAATGGGTAAAAAAACAGAAAGCCTATTTTTAAATTTTTAATGGGTAGTGTTAACAATAATGGCGTAATTATCACTGTTTTATTAAGGCTATTTTTTACGACATGGTTAGAGGTGGAAGCTTGGAGAGAAGAGAATAACGGACGCATTATTCTGGGGTGTGAAGAGAAGCTGATACACGTAAGTGGCGTTAAGGAGAGAGACAGAGATCAGACCTGAGAGTGGGATGTGTCCAGGGAAACATGCAAGAGCATTTTCAGGATCCCATCCAGGGCACATCTCAGCCTCTGTGCAGCTTTAAATATCGCATCCCAACTTCTCTGTGGCATCTACCTATTCCTCTATTCCTTTTTTTTTTTTTTTTTTTTTTTAACCTGTTGGCGGCCGGAAGCAGCTTTAGCAGCTTTTCCCTGTCACTGCAGAAGGCTCTGGAGATTTGTGCCTTGTTAGATTAAAACGTGAAATTCTCGGGCCCGATCCTCCTCCTAGCATATTCAGTGCAACTTTGGTCCGGGAAACTGTATCTGTCTCTTTACAGACTGTAGTGAGCAAACTGTGCAGGTATTTGGGTTTTCGATTTTAATTGCCATATTTTCCAGAGTCTTCGAGAGCCATAAAACTGCGGCATCCTTTTATGTTAAAATAAGAACGATCTGCGTGATAAGCTCACTGATTTTCAAATAGAAGGGTATTTAGAGAGTGAATTTAATTCGGTACAAAGGACAGGTAAACGGAAATCAGAACTACTTCAGCGGTGCCTACGGCGGGGCTTTGTTTTTTCCCTTTCCATTTCATGCAACAATAACTGAGCCCTCCACACTGCGCATCTCCGTGGAAGCCGCCGCTGTTGCTTGCACCGCCCGTGCCCTGCAGCACTTAAGCAGCGCTCGCAGGAGCGGTCAGAGGCTCGGAGGGTTTCCAGAGGTGCAACCACCTGTTTTTTGGTGCCTAAAGATGCCCGAGAGAATGTCACTTCGGAGGGAGAGAATGTCACCAGGAGATATCTGCAGGTAAACGGCTGTCAAAACAGCCTTTCGCTGCACTATGCGTCCTGCTTTGGACGTGTCACGGCGGCGGCTGTTTTTCCTGTGTTTTCCTTCTGCATCTCGGCATGCATTTTTAAGTTCCCTTTACTTTTCTATCCTCCTCCCCTCCCTGTTCCCACAGAAGGGACCAGCGGTCTCACTACTTGGAATTAACTTGTAGGTGGAAAAATATTTTTTAAAAAAATTAAAAAAAATAAAAAGAAAAGAAAATCAACCTGCCCAGCACGTGTCACGGTCGTGCCGATGAACCCCGTGTCTCGCTGCGTGGAAAGTAGCGGGCAGCGCGGGCGAAGCCACGGCCACGCTTCTCCCGTGGGGCCCCGTGCTCCCCGCACTCCAAGCACCTCTGTGTCACGGGGGGCAGCCATCCCCGCTCGCCCGACGAGGAAATGGCTGCGGGAAGAGGCG